GCGGTGGGGAAGCGTGGTCCCAGGCGGGGTTTGGGTTTTCGCGTGGTTTTAAAAGCCTTCGTGGGTTCGCCGAGGGAGAAGGGGGTCTGCGTGGGGAAGGGGGTGGAGTGGGAGGGGCGGGTGTGGTGCTTCCCCCGTCGGGTGTGCCCTCTTTGCGGTGGTAGCTCTGCGAGGCTGGAAAAACATACTCCTCTTCCCCCATGAAAAAATGATTTCTTCTGCGGCATGAGTCACCAGAAACCGGTTTTCGTGTTGAAGTGGAAAAACAAATTCCTTTTACTTTCCTTCAACAATAAAAAAAGTCTTACAAAACTTGCAAAACTCTTCCCTATTTGGAGACAGTGTTACTTCTTACCAGAAAGTTTGTGATAAATTAACCAGTACAAACTTGGGATTTCAGCATACCCGAGAATCTGCTTAAAGTTCAGTCATTACTGTGCTGTTACTGGCGTTTAATTCCTCTGTTTATTTTTTTCATTCTGGGTCATTAGCTTGATGATAGATGGCCAAAAATAAAAAGCACCCAACTAGTTAGGTTTTTATTTAGTGACCTGTGCTAACTTTGTATGTTTTCATTCATTTTTGTTTGTTTCTTTGTTTGTTTTTATGTGCTCTTTTACTTTAATTTCAAAAAAGTTAAGCCTTCTTACCCAGAAGGATGAAGGAGGGTCCATAGTGTGATTATCATTGTGTAAAACCCGAGCCATACCTTTTTGTCTTCTTGCATGTATCTCATTCCAGAATTGACAAAATGTCACCCTTTTATGTACTTCATTTTTTCATATATTAAGTACAGTATTGCTTCAAAATAAAAAAATGTGTATTTTAAAAAGTCTATATATAAAAAGTGTATCTATAACCTGGGTAGGTTCAAAATAGTTCAGACAGTTAAAATGATTTTAAAGGAGTATGGACAGCTTCTGAAACATGATATACTAAGCAACTGGGACAGGAAACACAACTTAACTCACTTCACATATGATACTCTGTGGGATGGAATGGCCATGTGAACTAAGCTGGTTTTTTGCACTATAGAGCTTATGTAGGGGTGTAGATGTGGTTGAGGGCTGCAATCTATTTCATGATCCTGTAGTTTGTCACATTTCCTTAGTTTTGCTTTTTCTAATGGTTTCTCTTTCAAATTGTAATTATATTTATTTAATTTTCTTACACAGTGCTAAGGAAGTAATTTCAAAGCCAGTCAGATTATGGCCTTTGAAAGGATAACACAAAAGAACTGGTACAAAATCCTGGGTGCAAAGCCATCAGACAGTCCGGCAGAACTAAAACGGAAGTACCAAAAACTTGCTTTATTAGTAAGTATTTTATTATTTAAGATGTGCAAAAATAAATTTTATAAACCAGTAAGATAACAATTGCAGGTTTTGTTTTTACATTTTTTGTATATATAGGATTAATCAATGTATTTTGTAATAGCAGCTCACTGAGGCTGGCTTAAGTTTGAAATAAACATCAGGAGTTTATGAGTTGTTACATTTTGCAAAGAGGGGTTGTGGTGTTCTCGTTCCAAAATACTGATACGTCTTCCAGCTTTACTAATCATTCATGAGTAAACTGAAGCAAGTACCTGTCCATCAGGTGCTGGATAATGAGGTGCTCAAGAAAGGTCATTGTTTGTAGCACATACTGATTAAATTTGCTAATTGATATTCGTGGTATTTACTGTCATGCGTGCAGTTATAATGTGCTGAATGCAACCCTTGAATATATAAAGACCAGATGCAAAGAGCAAAAAGAAGCTCTTCCTGATAGTCTGCAGTAACGGAATAGAAAATGTATGGGAGGAAAATATGTTAATATCAATTTTATTTGAAAGTTTCTGGTGCATTTTTGTGGAGTCATGTTTTTGGTCATGCATTAAGACTTGATGTTCTGTGAATTCCCTTAATTTTTCCTGTACTCCTGGTATACATGTATAAGAATCTCAGAGCTTCACCAGATTACTTTGTGTGATTCTTGGTTCTTCTTTTTTACTCCTTCCCCTGAATTCAGGCTTTTTGCTCAACAGGTGCTTTGGCCTGGCTTTCTGAGAAAATGGGGTGTATTTTTTTGATACTGTTGACCATTTTCAACCAAATTTGATAAACAAATAGAATTCCCAAGGTAGCTAAATTTCTAAGTTTCTTGAAAACTGGCAACCTGGTAGAGAAGAAGGAAGAAGGTGAGCAGAACTCTGGTTTTTATATATTCCTTTAGGTAACTGCTATCTAGACTGTCAGTATTGGTAGGGCATTGGAGAGTACATCCATGACTGATCTTGCTTGGTTTGAGGTGTTAGAATGAATGTGATAAGATGTTGGGATTTTTAAGCGAGGTAAAGAGAATACTAGTCAACAGGAGACTGAGTTTTGTTAGAGGTGAAATAAGTTCATGGGTTGGTTGGGGGTGGGGTGGTGGTGTTTGTTTGGCTTATTCATTTTATTTCTACCCTCTGTGGAAACTGTTTTAAAGGTCATTTCCAAATTCACACATTTTGATACTCTTTAGTTGAATTCGCTTAAGGATTCCTGCTGTACGTCTACTCCTCCTCAGTGCTTCCTGCTAACTTATTTCTTTGCCTGTAACTGATCTATGTACTTGGTGTCTTAAGCTTCAACACCTTACAAGATGTTTGCATGCAGATATAGTACATAAATCCTTAGATCTTCACTATTAAACATTAGAAGAACCAATGTAGGAGAGCGCTTTGGAAACCAAGCTTCTTAGTTCTGCTTTTAATAAAGTAGTTGTTTTCTTGGACCTCCTAACGTTTTTGTTCCACTGAATTACTAGTAAAATGTGAATAAAATATTAATAATGGTCTTGTTGTTCTTAATGAAAACAATAGGGAGATCATAGTGTAAAGTACCTCTTCTGTTCAGATAGGCGGCTAATTTAAACTGAATACTGTAATGGAATCAATATATTTCTTTCACTATGAATCTATGTATAGTAGTGGAATTAAAATCGTATGTAAAATATTGTTCAGAGCTGTTTGCCACAGAACTGAAACTATGTAGTGCCTTTCCTGTGTGAATTTTTTTTTTTAAATGAAAGTGACCCTTTACTTTCATGTAATTATTTTGAAGTGTATGAAGCCAGGATTGTTGGAGTTTACAACTCTCTGTTTACATCTATAACTATAGTTTTAGAGGATGAAAATACTATTTTAATATACAAGCTTTTCTTTAGAACCTGTATATTTCTAGGCTAATTGGTTACAGCTCTTTATTTGAAAAGTCAGTGAGAAATGTTAGAGAAGATGAAGATATGCCCCCCCCCCGGCTCAGAATTCTTTTGCTATCTGTGATGGATCTCTGACTAAAAAGCCACACTTGTGGCTGATCTTTACTTGTAGGTATTTTCTGCAAGACAGATCAGCTTGTCTGTTGTTGTTACCATATGTCCTGTCTCTATTCATCTTTTTCTTTTAGCTGAACTGTTACAGACTCTGTTTGTCTACTTACTAATACAGCATTGAGCACAGTCAGTCTGAAGTCTTTAAAAGCATGGTGGTAATAAAACAACAGTTATTTTTATGCACCTTAAAAACTCATTGGCTGTGCGTAGGAGTGACTGAGGCTCCAGTACATACCTTCACTAAAAGGTGTTCATATAACACTTAGTTACAGCATGAAAGTTACTGCTACAGATGTTGTTGAGTCCAATGGTTCTGTGGTTGAAAAAGTTGTAAGACTTTCACAAAAGAAAAGTCTGCCATGGCATTTTAACACAAAAAATACTCTGATTCAGAGATTCGTGAGCTGTGGACTTCTGAATATTGGTGGAATATACAAGGGAGGTGTTGCTGTATGTTTGTCTTGTCGTGATACTATTCCCTAGGCATCCACTGTTCATTGTCAGTAACAAGCATAGCACTGGATGGACCTCTCGTGTTACCGGTTGTGCCCTATTCATAACTCGCTTGCTTCCCAAGTAAAGCTTGTACTTAGAGCTCTTGTCAGTTAGAGGTATGAAGCTAACAAAGTGCTCATTTGGGTTTTCTAAAGCTGTTGGAGATCGTGATGGTAGAAGTAGTAGTAGTATTGGTGTGGGCAGAGAACAGGTCTACATGCAGGTGTTTTTATGTACTGTGGTAGTAGTCAATTATCACAGTGACTCCAGTTTAGAAGCTGGAATAGGAGATGAGCGCAGCCATGTATTGCCTATTAAAAGATTTCATGACAAATTATATGGTCAATACAGAAAGTTTTCTGGCTTATGTGTAGCAGCAGACATTAACCTCCTGTGCTAATTACCTTAAAATCCAGAAGTTTGTAAAGCAACTTGCAGCTCGGATACCAACTGCAATTATTATGACATTCATTCTGTAATCATGAATATTCTGATCGCAGATATTCATTAGCATCAAGTATAATAGATGGTGGAATTTATTTTTTAAAATAATTCTGCTGTTTAAATAAAAATGGCAAATGTCTGAGTCCAAGCCTTCTTCAGATGATCCCAGTGCTTCATGTTGAGCATTTGCTTTTTGCCATCTGCTATTTTCTGTTTGTCAACACATGTATGCTTAGCATCTTGAATGAACAGGCAGATGTAAATTTCCAAAGCTAAAAAGAGTTGGAGATCTTGCCATATGTCATCCAAAAGATAACTATATTTGTATTTAAATCTCAGGACTGACCTTAATAATACAAAGTAGTACGCAATTAAAAATGGTTGAATTGTAGGTTTGTAAGAATGATTTCATAATGGCAAATGAGCTTAAAACTGATCAATTTTTAAAACATAACTTGTTTTTGTCATTTCTAACAAGTTGATGATAGAAAATGGTAATAACCCATAACAAATAAAACTGTGCATATGCACCCTACTAGAGTGATTACATTTACTTACCATTTTGCCATACTTTGCTTTGCTGCGCTTACTTTTTTTTCATTTGGTCAAGTCACAACATATGTTTAAGTGAATTATTTTACTACAGGTAATATCAATTTCATCTTTAAGAGGATTATTAATTTGATACAGAAAATAGCATGTGTTTGGCCTAAAAGTAGTGGTATAGCACAGGTTTGTCTAAAAGTAATGGTATTTTTTAAATAATTTTTTTTTCTTCTCACCTTCTAAGTATTTAAGTAAAAGTTCATATTTATAAAATTTCCTTGCAACTTAATGACACTTAAATTTATTTCTTTTAAATTCTTGTCCATTTATGTGACTCTGATACCTGGATCATCCTGATACTTTATTATTGTAGCAGTCAACAGCAGCTGAAGACAACAGACTTTTGGGCACAAGACGTGTGTGACGCTGGCAATTTTATAAATAGCTTATTTTTAAAACAAAATCCAACTTTTGTATATGCTGGCTCATCTTCGGGTGTCTTCTCTGGCTGAAGCTCTGTGCTAATAATTCTGAAAGGAAAAAAAAAATAATTAGAAATGTGTATTTTGTAATCAGCATAGCTCAATGCAAAAGTTCCTTGATTGGCTGTTTTAAGTTCATGCTAAGGTGCTTTCTGAAGCATGGAAGACTTGCAGTTTCCATACTCTGAGGGGAATCACAATAAATTTTGAGAATTAATATGTTGTCTAAGTAGTAGGAGTTTGGTCTTTAATCTTCTGTCTTTGGAACATGCTGATGGTTTTGAGATATTTGGGCTACATACAGCCTTTTCATCTTGTTATACACAGTAGTTTCAACAAGATTTCTTAAATGGATAACAGGTTTTATGCTCTATACTTAGTTTTTCAAGGAATCCATACAGCTTTTAGGAAGGACAGTGCTTATGTTCCGTTTCTTAATGTGTATAAAATTAACAGAGGATGAAATTAGAGTAACAAAAATAGGATATTGGGGAAAAAAATTACACTTGTCTGATTATTGGCACAATTTTTACATCTCCTTTTGGTGTAGCACTTTGTGGTCAAAGAATGAGTTGCCAGATTGTTTTCAAATTTTCATGTAGCTGCTCTATATCTGAAAACTGCTTTTTACAGTGAATAAAGTCACCAAACACATAAGCTTTGTCTAGATGAAAATCAGGTGTCTGTTCCTGTTGATGCTGATGATATTATAGGATACCTTTCAACTGGAAAAAAAATTATTGTGCAGGAAAATTATATGCTGCTGTTACAGTGTGTGCCCTAATCTTAAAGAAAATCCATGTAATTTGAGCAGGGAGTATGCAGGAAGCTCTTATTTTTAATATGGTGCAGAAATAAAATGTGCCATTTAACACATAGTGTTACAAAGATTATCTTTTTATCGGAAGGGGTGGTGTGTGTATAGAAATACAAAGTGTTAAGGTGATCACTTAATCTGTTTGAAAGAGTAGAAAATTTGAAAACAGAGA